ATGGATGACTCTGCTTAGTGCTTAACTGTTTAAAAAAAGCCTCTAAAAAAAGTGCCCTCTGCAGGAGGAGGCGAGAGAACCATGTGCCTCCTTTACATAAGGAATTTTTCGTCTTTTAACCCTTGCTTAACTCTGCTCAAGTGATCGTAAAGATAGACTAAAGGAGGCACATGGTTCTCTCACCTCCTCCTGCAGAGGGCGCTTTTTTAGAGGCTTTTTTAAACAGGTAAGCACTAAGCAGAGTCATCCACTGTGATTCTGGCAGCAACTACCTCAGCCTTTTTCCTTTTATTTTTCTTTTCTTTTCATTATGACAGTGATGAGGCCCTGCTTCCCCTGACTGCATGTCACTGAAAAAGACATATATTTTCGGAAAGGTGTCTCAAGAAAAGCATTTTTACTGGCCTTTGATGTTTTCTTATGGGTCACATTGGTACCTGGCCCTCTCTCTATCACAGACATTTGATCGATCGCCTGGTAGCTCTGCTTAAATTTCCTCTATGCTTACACATCGTGCAGCATTTACAGTCCTCGCCTTCACTGGTGGGATTCCTTGCAAAATACTTTCAAAGACGAGGAGAAAAGGCTGGCTGCTGAAATAGGCTGCCCTTTCTCCTTGGTGCTGGAATTTTGCTCACCTGCAGACCTCGACTTACTACTATTATTAAGTCTAGAAAAAATAAAGTAAATCATGGTTACCTGACCATGGGATGCCTCAAATAGCAGTAAATGCAGCCTGGTTGCCAGGCACCCAAAAACACGTGAGCATGGTGGGGTGGGTGACCGTCGGTAACTTTGGAACCAGGTTGTACATATCTTTTGGGGTGACCCGTTGTGACTTCAAATGGTCACAAGGCAACTGGTTACAAGTCAAGGACTTTACCAGTACAGGGTACCTAAAAATCAGCCTTGTAAAAGCATGAGATACAGAAATGTATGATTTATATTTGACTAGCCGATAGCCCGGCATTGTCTGGGTATTTATTGATAGGGGGGAAATGTCCAGACCAAACATAATTTCTAATGTTGGATTTTCCCCCTTACCAGAGG